CGCAGCACCACGACGGTCACTCCAACGGCCATCCTACGCGCACCACCGCCACTTGTACACCTGCCACAGTAACGTGGAATTACCAACGCTGGCGCACGATCGTTTGAAGGGGGGGTGGGTTGTCTGTGGGGAGTCATTTAAGACTTTCGCTGCAGCACTCTCAGGAAGATGTACCCCCCAATCCAACTCAAATTGCCTTTAACAGCGGAGGGTTAGGATGTGAAAAGTAATTGTGGGCAATTAAAGGGGCCTCGTTTCTTGTTCTACCCCTTCGTCTTCTGCCTCACTCTCTCTTCTCGCTCGCTCGCTCCACCCCCGACCACCAACCAACCCAAACGTTTGGCCGCACGGGCAGAACGGCATCCGGCCCGCTCCACAGACAGCCCCCTCCACCCGCGCCCCAACCCACCCCCCCACAGTTCGCAGCGCAATTACATTAATTCGTCTGTTTTTGCAGTGGCCGTTTGTTCCCAGAACCCCCCCCCCGCCCCTACCGATGCCTTGCCATGTCTTAGACGTAATTAATACGGCATTTGCTGGACTCGCGACAGTAACCAGCATTGTGCCTGCACGTGGCTTCCACGCTGGTGAGCTGTGATGCCGGCGACCGGCGTCGGCGGGTTGAGATTCCCGGACGTGGTCAACACCGGTGACGATTACCTGAACGGGCTCTGGGCCCTGCGCCTTTAGGTTAACTCGGCCTTAAATGAGCACCTGGTTGCGGCGTGAAGACATCAGCATCGGGGAAACAAAGGTGGCCGGGCGTGGTTTCTGGTCACACCAACTCCCCTAGCGTATGTCATATCGGCCTGAAAAGCTGCTCGCTACCAGCATTTGCCCAAGTAGTGTGTCAAAGACTACACGGGACACCTTTGTCGTTGTGCGTGCGTGTGTGCAAACGCGCGTGCCTGTACGCAACACACACACAAACGCGTACACTACACACGCCGTCACAAACTTCTATTTCTCTCGAGCAGCAACAAAAAACCCACTCCCGACTTACTCCGTCTCAAAGGCAATCCACACGCCCATTCCCCATCCTCGCCCCTCCTCAAAGGCCCAAAGAGCAGCGGGCAGGCAAGGAGAGCCTTGGCCCTGTTGCCCGGAACTTATTCTGCAACCTGAGAATACCAAGGAAACATTAGAGAAGGGTCTTCATCTGACCCCGTTCCTATCCATCACTCTGGGCTGCATCCACCCACCCACCCATCCACCCATCTACCCCACCAGTCACCCCAACCCCAATTTCGTGGACACCCCCCCAGTAGGTTCTCCCCTCTGCCCCCCCCCCCCCCCGTAGAAAACCGGAATGGCTGGCAATCTGTCAATGGCATGGCCATGAGCTCAGAGCCTTTTACAACCGGGCGCACATAGCCCTGGCCAAACGAAGTCCCGTTTATAAATAGCCCAGATCGCTGCAGCGTTTGAGGATGAGGGCAATTAGGGCCAATTTTAAATCAGCCGCTTCTTCTGAAAGTCGTCGCGAATGCAATTGCGAGCTTAGTGATGCTTACCGACAAACGCGCGTGTGCGCGCGTGTGTGTACACGCGAGGTCTGTTCAGAGGTTTAGACACCGCTTTATCCTGTGTATGATGGGTGCGCGCGCGTGTGTGTGGGTATGCGGGGAGCGGTCGTGTAACGGTTAGTGAAATGCGCTGTGAAACCGGCGACCCGGGTTCCATTCTCGCTCATGGCCAACATTGGTGATGTGTATCTGAACCAGTCCTGGGCCTCCTCCATGTCAACTCCCGCACCTCCGATTAGCACGGGCGGCAAGGCAAGGTGCGAAAGAAGTTCAACATACATACACACAACTCAGCTTTAAGTGAACATCTGGTACGGTATATAAACATCAGCACTTGGAATACAAAGGCGGCCGGGCGTGGTGCTGGCTGCAACACCCCCTTGTGCGCAGTTCCGGCCTTCACAGGTGCTCGCTAGCAGCACTTTCCCCAACAGCCTGTGTAGGCTACACGGGGGATCTTTGCCTCTGTGGGGAGTGTTGGTGTTTCGGTATGACTTGTGCTATAAAACCGGCGACCTGGGTTCGATTTCCAGCCATGCAAAACATTACCGGCATGTGGTATTTGAACGTTTGCCCTGGCACGAGGTGTGATTAGCAAAGCGATACGTGAATGTTCTCCCTCGGGTCAAACTCAGCCTGAAGTGAATGCCTTGCATGGTGTGTGAATATCGCTGCAAGGGAGACAGAGATGGCTAGGTGTGTTGCCGACGACACCAACCCTCCGTCGTGCCGTGCCGGCCTTAATAGGAGCTTGCTTACAGGACTCGCCCCCCACGTTCTACAAGACGGTGTATGCGGAGTGTCCAAGTGTGCAAAGTATCGCCACACCGAAATAAGCACTGGGAATTGTTCCTTTCCTTTGGAAAAGCTCCAAATAGCACAGGTGGCGACGTACGGTGGGTGGAAAATAAGTTCAACCTACGTACATACATGCAGTGGTGGAAATGCCACATTCTTATAAGGATGACACTAATATTGCCTTTCCATAAGTGAGTAGTGCAGCCTCAACAGTTATTGTTTTATTTAAGAAACCTGCAGAAATGACGATTTCGGTTCTGGTAGTAGTAACAATGGTTGTGGCTGTAGTTATGATGGTTATGACTAGGTTATTACAGTATTGATACTTGTGGTTGTCATGACGATGATAGTGGTGGTGACTATGGTGATGGTGGTGACGATGGTGGCTGCGATGATGAGGGTGGTGAAGAAGATGATGATGGTGGCAGTGGTGGTTGTTGTGGTTGTCGTGATGACGATGGTGGTGGTTGTGATGATGAGGGTGGTGATGACAACGACAGTGGAGGCTGTTGTGGCTGTAGTGACGACGACTGTAATGATAACAATGATGATGATGGGCACCGATACGGCCGAGCGAACACCAGTCCTGGACTCAAACACGTGCCCTCTCACGACTGTGCGCCCGGCTCTTCAAACCACCGAGCAAGCCGCTAAGTCACAACACATCACACGGCTCATTTACTCAACACGCAAACACACACACACACATGACCCACAGCTCTGGCCACGTGACCACGTGTTCACATTTCTGCGGTGGTCAGCCGAAGGGACCACCTTTCACGTCTGGCCCATTCCGAAAATAATCCGCGCTCACAGCTTGCGAGATCCTGGAAAGTTTCTCCTTAACTTTCATGTGGGCGGGCGGCGGTGGGGGGCTTTAATTATTATTATTATAATTATATATTTTTTTTGTCCTTCACTCCCCCAGGCCTAGATTGTGTCAGATTTCAAAGGGGCCGCGGGATTTGAAGATGGCACGATGAGACGATGCGACACGACAGGCGAGGGGTGGGGGGGCAGGGGGGGGGGGTCTCGCACGTAGACACTCACAACAGAGAGGTGAGTGACATCAAGAGCGCAATGTGTTGTTCATACACGTGTATGCATGCGTATACACAAGCATGTATATATATGTAAACTAAAACTTTTTTTTAATTTTACCAGGTAAGGCCCCACTGAGCTATGTAGCTCTTTTTCAGAAGCGACCTGGCCACAAATGAAAGTTCAACGAAGTGGCTTATCGTGTGGAAATTGATAGCAGCCAAACAGTCTAAGCGCGTGTTGATTCTAAATGCGGAGAGAAAAATCGGGAGGTCCCGGAGAAAAATCCACATGACCACGGGGCGAACACGTAAACTCCAAATATACAGGCGTCAGTCGGGATGGAACTCACGAACTCCTGTACACCAGACGAGGAAGCTAACATCTCTCCACACGTATGCACATATACATGTATGTGTACATACGTAAAGACACCCTCCCACCGGTAACCTTGACGGGCTCTTTGCTGCGTGCAAGCCCTGTTAGCGAGCGCCTATTACGACCGGCACGGCACGGCACACAAGGATGTCGTGTGACCAAAGCCAAGCCGTGCTCCGCCGGCTCTCCTCGTCTCCCGAGTGGCGATGTTGACACGCCGGGCCGAGAACTAATTTCATGTTGAGTCGAACTGCTAGGGGAGGGGCCCAGGACCAGTTTAGATGTGTGTCACTCATGTCAGCCGTTTGTGTGCATCGCAGCGCAGTGTGCTAACCACTGCGCCACTGCTCCCAACATTTATATATAAAGACAAAGATACACACACGTCTGCACTATATAGCGAAGATGGGCAGATAATAATAGATTGAAAGAAACTACGAGTATTAGTAACATTCCATAAGAGCAATGAGAGAAGGATAGTCTAGCAAGTGCTAGGGTATCTGTAGAGCCAAACTTGCTGACGGTGCTGCTGTTGCTGATGGTGCTGAAATGGAGATGATAATGCTTCACAAAAAAAACATATTTCTATATTACTGCCGATGCTATGTTGAGAATAATACTGCAGCTCCTGATTAAACAGGCTAGACAATCGTGGTAAGTCATGATGATCCTGAGGATGCTGTTGATAAAAACCATAGATGTTTATAATGATGTTGATAAATACGATTTTAATAACAATCTACTCGATTCTTGTGCATGAAGGGAGCAATGTGCTCAGGAGATGAATTTACCGAAAGAACCAAGAAGATGAATCCCTGCAGTCACGAAAGCTTTAAATCGAAATGCACTATTGTTTAACAACTTTCGCACCGTACGTAGCCAACCGTGCTAATCGGAGGGGTGGTAAGGCCCCACTGAGCTCATATAGCTCTTTTTTAGAAGCGACCTGGCTAAAAACGACAGCTCACCCAAGTGGCTTAATGCGGAAATTTCAAGCAGCCAAATACTCTAAACGCGTGTTTCTAAATGTGGACGGAATAACCGGAGGACCCAGAGAAAAATCCACGCGACCACGGGGAGAGAAAGAGAGAGAGAACACACAAACTCCATATATACAGGCGTCAGGTTCGGCATCGAACCCATGACCTGCATACCAGGCAAGGTAATTAACATCCCGCCACCGTGGGGAAGTGGTGGTTGACACACCGAAGACGCAAACTGCAAACACACAGCACTAACCGACACGCCGACCCTCACCTGGCACACGCGGAGCGCCTGGTCGAGCACGGACTTGGTGTCGGTGCCGTAGTCGGGCGAGGGCAGCGGTACGCGGCCCACGTGCGCCAGCAACAGCAGCAGCGCCTTGGTGTGCGCGCTGTCCATGGGCCGCTGGGCCACGCCGTCCAGGGCCACGTGGCCCGCCAGCTCCAGGTTGAGCGAGTCTTCGTTGTGGCGCACGGGCAGTTCAGCGTACTCGGAGGCGTCCTGCGGGGTGAGCGGCGTCACGGTGGTGGTGGTTGTACATCATTACAATGATGATGATGGTACATTGTTACAATGATGATGATGGTACATTGTTACAATGATGATGTTGGTACATTGTTACAATGATGATGTTGGTACATTGTTACAATGATGATGTTGGTACATTGTTACAATGATGATGTTGGTACATTGTTACAATGATGATGATGGTACATCGTTAGAATGATGATGTTGGCACATTGTTACAATGATGATGTTGGTACATTGTTACAATGATGATGTTGGTACATTGTTACAATGATGATGTTGGTACATTGTTACAATGATGATGATGGTACATTGTTACAATGATGATGATGGTACATTGTTACAATGATGATGTTGGTACATTGTTACAATGATGATGTTGGTACATTGTTACAATGATGATGTTGGTACATTGTTACAATGATGATGTTGGTACATTGTCACAATGATGGTACATTCTTGATTTGAAGCTTTCGTGACTGCAAGAATCCATACTCTTTGGTTCTTTTGGTAAAGTCACGTAGGTATAAAATAAAATAGATCACGACGTTTCGGACGCAACACACTGATGACGGACGCTTGTGTTGCGCCCGAAACATCGTGATCTATTTTATTTTATACCTACGTGACTTTACCGAAAGAACCAAAGAGTATTTCGATTTAAAGCTTTCGTGACTGCAGGGATTCATCTTCTTGGTTCTTTCGGTAAAGTCACGTAGAAGGGAAGTAATAAAATAATAAAAATAGCAGCCGTCTTCAAGTGAAGACGGCTGCTTGCGTTGTAGTCGAAACGTCGTGAGAATTATTTTATTTTATTATGTTTTATTTTTATTATTTTATTACTTCCCTTCTACGTGACTTTACCGAAAGAACCAAGAAGATGAACCAAAGAGTATGATGATACATTGTTACAATGATGATGTTGGTACATTGTTATGATGATACAGTGTTGCAATGATGATGCATTGTTACAATGTTGATAATGCATTGTCACAATGATGATAAATTAACACAATTAAGATGATGACATATGGTATCACGATTATGATAGAAGCGACCGCATCTCAAGACGCTGTGCAAGAACACTGCGCGTGTTTATTTTATATTGGCAAGCGATATCCGCACCGCCGATTTCCCGCACCTCCAATTAGCACGGTTGGCTAGGTACAGTGCGATAGAAGTTCAACGTACATACTTAAATCTGAATGTTCTCCCTAGGGTCAAACTCAGCCTGAAGTGAACGCCTTGCATGGTGTGTGAATATCGGTGCAAGGGAGACAGAGATGGCTCGGTGTGTTGCCGACGACACCAACCCTCCGTCGTGCCGTTCCGACATTAACCCTTTTGCGTTTCTGAGACATCTGGCAAGTTGCAGGTTGGGTGTCCAATTCACCTCTAAATCTTGGAAAGTGCACTGTTGTTTTTAAAGACATTGTACTCACGGCAGCGAACTGTAGCGAACCGACCGCATTCAATGATCACTGGCGACAAACTGCGCCACACGCCCTCCCGCATGGCCTTGTGGGAGCTTCGGTACCGATAAAGTTATTTTATTTTAGGTTTTATTCCGGTTTCATTTCGCTCATGTACGCGTACGTCATCGGAACGGGAAAGGGTTAATAAGTGCTTGCTTACAGGACTCGCCCCACGTCTACAAGACGGCGTTTGCAGAGGAGCCGAGTGTCTAAAGTGTGTGAATCCATTGAGCATCACCACATTAGTGGCAGAGGAGAGGAAGTTCTCCAGCCTGAACTTGAACAAGGGAGGGGAGCCAAAACAGCACGGACGGCTGGCGGAAGAAGGAAGGCGTTCCAGACCATGGAGGACAGCAGAGGAGAATGAGCGGCCGCCTCCAGAGGGACGATCGGCTTCATCAGAAAGCCTTGGCGTGTATCGTGTACGTCGCCGCTTGTGTGCGAGTAGCATTACCGAGTACGCTTGTTGAACAACATCGACGGCGTTACTTTTCTCTCTCGCGACGATGATAACCATCCAACGAGTGACGACGAGATGTGCGAAAACGTGATGAGAAACACAACATGGTGACGATTTATGACGATGACAAGGCACGTGATGATGACGTTACGGCGAGTTTCGTGAATGCTTCATGAGCCATGCTAATGTGCCGATGACGATGATAATGCTGCACACGGTAATGATATCATGATGACGGTGGCGATGTTGAAGAGCATTGAATATCATATTTACGGTGAAAGGACCGAGTTTGGTAATCGAACGCAGAAATCATCATCATGAAATACTTCTACTCGTTATCATCATAGCAATCGCTTGCTTCGAGATGAGCGCGACACGCCAGCCCGAACCTTGCTCACGTTACACGATCAATCACCACAACAGCTTTGAGAGTGTTCACAAGGTGGGCTAACGAGTCAAAAGCGAAAGAAGTTTCGACGCACAAATGAGCAACATAATCCCGCTCGCCGTTCTCTCTTGGCAGAGTTGGCGGTAAAAAAAAATATATAAAATACTCCGTGTTCCCATAGCAGGAGCCGGTTCATTGACAAGACAACCACGAAGTGATGAACAATTTATTGACCTTGAAAAAGAAGACCAACGATTGATGATGCCAGCAATGCTGACGATGCGGTCATTGATGACTATGATGATACTGATGATGATGAAATCCATGATGATGATGAATGAGTGAATCGATGCCCGACTGGGATTTAAACTCACAACCTTCAGGTTGGCGGTCAAGCGCTCGAACCACAGGACTTTTCGGCTAAAGAACGTCGATTCAATTTGGGCTCGGTTAACAACCTTAGTAATTACAAAAACAATAGATGGTTTTCTGAGCTTCGTCACGAATTGTTTATGAAGTGGTGCGTGCGACAAAAAGTGTCACAACCCTGAAAAGTAGCACAACCCTCAACGCGCGTGTGTCGGAGAGCTGTGCGCAGTGCGAAAAACCCACTCAGCGATATCAACAACGACGATAACAACAACAACAAACACCGACGGATAGGGATGAATCTATCACCACAATAGCTTTGCCCTGTCGCCATCGCCGTCAGTGTCGCCGCGCGCGCGCGCGCGCGCGCAAGTGCAGCCCTGCGATTGATGCGAAGCGTGCGTGCGCTGTACAACCGAGCGCCCCGCTCACACATCGGTGCGAGTGCGGCTGTGCGCGAAAGCTATTGTGGGACGAACTGTGGAGCAGGAGGAGGACGAGACGGACATCTGCTCCAGCATTCAGTCGGAGCTGGGGTTAGGGTCGAGGTTGGGGTTGGGTTTGGGACACACACGAGTTTTTTTTTTAACCAACTCCCTCCACTTTGCCCACTCCCCCCACCCGCCCCACTCGGGGGCAAACACGAGTGGCCGGCAGTTGTGAAAACACGGGGGGCGCTAAAGCGGCTGTGCACCCACGCGCACAAAGACAAAGGTCCCCCGTGTAGCATTCATCACTGTTGGGGGCAAGTGCTGTTATAGCAAGCACCTCGGAAGGCTGGCAGAGAGCACAAGTAGGCGGCGTGGCCAGCACCACGCTCGGCCCCCTTTGTCTCCCCAATGCCCATGTCTACAGACCGCAGCCAGGTACTCATTTGAGGCCGAGTTGACTTCGGGGACAGGCCCTGGAATGGTTCAGATATATTCGTCACTGATGTTGGCCGTGAGTGGGAATCCAACTCGGGTCTGTGGATTCGTAGCGCAGTGAGCTAATTAATTATTGCACCACAGCTTCCTAAGCGTGCCTGCCTGCCTACGTGCGCGCGTACACACAAGTACAAACTAAACGCACAAATGCACGCGCACCTCTAAACGTAGAGAGACACCGAGACAGAAAGGCACACATTCTCGTGCGCGCACAGAGAGTCCGATTACATCTCCATTTGAAACAACGGAGCAAGGTTCTTGGGCCTCTCCAAGAATCTGTCTACCCAGCGTTGTGAGTGGGTATCGCGAGAGTTCGCGGAGGACCGGCTGCGTGCGGCGGGGGCAATGTGCGAGTAAATCCAACCTCTGTCGCGCGTGGAAGAGTAGGCCGAAAAAAAAAAATTCCCACCGGTGTTCTTGGGCTCCCTCTCGTGGAGCCTCTACCTTCCTCTACCAGTGGCGCGAGCAGCAAGACATTGCAGGGCTGCACCTTTGCCATTACTTTTTTTTGCGTCACACCGCGTTTTACAGAACACGCGATTTTGACACCTACGATCGCATGACCGCGGGGGGCTTTGTCTGTGGCGAGCCGACAACTCGACATCGTTGAGCGTGGGTGGCTCCCGGACTCGCAGATAAAGGCTCCCTTTCAGCGGAGAGCGGCGGGCCAGCTAAAGGTGAAACGGGGGTTTAAAACGCGACCCCCCCCCCCCCCCGGCACCTTTTGAGTGCGACACTCGCTGCTCGTGAATGGGGGCAGCGAGCGGCAGGGTCACGGCCATGGGGATTGTTCGCCGTCGACGAGCGATGGCGGAAAGCACGCGAGAGGGGGTAACGCGTCGCTCGCCGCGTTTTGTTTCGGTACGTTTTTCCGTCGTTTGCGTGCGAGAGAGAGCGAGTGCAGCGAGCAAGCGAGAGCGACCGAGAGGAGCGAGAGAGAACGAGAGAGCGAGCGATTAAGAGAGCGATTGAGAGAGCGAGAGAGCGAGCGATTAAGAGAGCGAGTGAGAGAGCGAGCGAGCGGAGCGAGAGAGAGAGCAAGAGAGAGTGAGCGAACGTTTGCAATGAGCAAGTGACGGAGCTTCGCACTGAGCGGTGTGACGTGTGAGCAGTGTGACGTTTGAGAATAAATGTTCCAACAGAACGAAAATGTTGCTGCATCCCAAGTTGAAACATTTGTACAGTTGCTGATCATTGGCTGCAAAACGGCCGGCAATTGCACTCTTGAAAGGTGCAAAAAATTAGCGGTTAATGACTCTCTACAATTGAGCAAAGGTATATAAAAGAAAACTTGGGAAAAAGAGATGATGAGTGAATAAAAAAAGTGGAGCAGTGCGAGCTAAGAAAGTGGACCT